TAATATTTTTATTCTAATCCTATTTTTCAGGTAATATTAACATTAAAGATGAGCAAAGGATGGAGCAAATGGACAATTAAGTGTCTGTTTTATTCCAAAGTAATTAAATAATTAGGACTTTTGTGCCACAAATGCATGCTACACAGACAATGACAAAACACTAAATGTGGTGATTTCTTTAAAACCATGAAAAATGGAGAACAAGGACGTTTAGGAAATATTATTTTCATAATTTGTTTTTTTTATGGTTTACGATAAGACTGAACTGTAATGTCTAATTGGACATTTATATATAGTTTGGTTACATTTACTGCCCCCTTTTTTTTTTTTTTACAAAACTGTCCATTAGTAAACATTTCATGGGTCAAAATCTGCTTTTTCTGAGCCTGACAGGACATATTTGAACTCAAAAACAATTATGTGACTTTTTAGGGCTCATTTAACTCCAAAGAAAGTGGATCTGCTTTTTTTAAATGCTTTTTGTTTTGCTTTTAATGTCAGTTCTTACCAATTAGAAGCTGGAAGTGCTGATTTCTTATTTGTCTGTGAAGGCACCATCCATACAGCACCATTGGAAACAAACCTTTAAGTTTTTGGCCACATGTGGAACATTTCTTTACATTTAAAAGCTGAGAAGTAATTAAAAAAAACAGAATAATTGAGTGACAGTGAAGTCTGTTCTTATTAATTCAACATTTGAAGAAAATAAAGATATAAATGCAAAAAAATAAATAAAAGAAACCCTCAATTCAGGTGGCGGCTGACTTGATGTGCATTATGGGTAATGGAAAAAACAATCAGGTCTGTTCTGACAGAGAATTAAATCTAACTTGACGGCTTTACAGTCCGAGGAGGTCAAAACAAACTCATTTTCCACCGAAAACAACCGTAACTGTATTTGACAGTTGATTATTTCCCCAGTAAAACAAAAAAAAAAAGGACTCTGGTTGGAGGGCCAAGAATAAATAAGCCAAAGTCTCCGTTGTTTGGAAACAGAGCGTTTTTTCTCCTCCAGAGAAACTAAGAGCTTCTTCAGGTTTGTAGTTTTTATCCAGAAACCTCCAAAGCAGAAACAACTACAGTGGGGGAAATAAGTATTTGACCCTTTGCTGATTTTGACGGTTTTCCCACTTACAACGAATGCAACGATCTATAACTTTAATCATATGTACATTCTAACAGTGAAAGACAGAATCCCAAAGAAAATTCCAGAAAATCACATAATATGAATTTATAAAAAATTGATAACCATCTGATGAGGAAAAATAAGCATTCTTTGTAAGTGGGCAAACCTGCAAAATCAGCAAGGGGTCAAATACTTATTTCCCCCACTGTAAATGTACAAAGAGCAGCGCTCTGATTTGTGATTTAGACATCTCTGTGTTGCCACAGAGATGCTTCAATCGCACTCGTCCCCAACCTTGACCTCTGAGATCAGGGACGATTTTGAGTTTTTGAGTCTCCCTCAATTAGCCGAGCGCGTTTCCATCCCATTCTCCCGGAGAGATTAATTAACTCACGCCTTTTATTTGTGAAAACCTTTTTTTCTTTTCCGCCCCTTTTTCTTCGCTCCTCTCTCTTTCGGTTAAGCTTCCAGAGAGCAAAATAGAGAATTAAAACAAGTGTTTGTGTGTTTCAACAGCTAAAGAAACCGAACCTCTCCATCCTTTTCACGTCTGTCGTCGCTCGATTTGGAGGCAGAAATTAATCTCCAGCTGTCTCGCTTTGAGAAACCAAACACATGGCCGAACCGCGCGGCCTTTTGTTGGACTGCGTGTTTTTTTTTTACCTTTCCCTCATTTTCTAGCTGACAAATTGGCCTTTTCCCACTCATTTTTCACCCAGATAGATAAATAGATGGTTAAATTAGCTATTTAACAGTAATTTAGCTATTTAACAGTAAATTACAGACAAAAGATGCTGTTTTTTATATCCTCTGCAAAACAAAAAAAATAAAATAATGCAGGAAAAATCCTAAATCATGAATTATGTAAACCTGAATGTTAAACAGTGAGTTATTTTTTTATCTATATTCATAAAAATACAAAGCAAATATACAATATTTAATGTCATAACAGAGAAACTGTTGGGTTTTTTTTTGGAAAGATTTTCTCATTTTCAATCCATCAACACGTTATAAATAAAGAAATTAGCAAAAAACAAAGAAGATTCTCAGTCTGAAATTAAATATTGTGTCTTTGTCAGTTGTGTAGTTGAACATAAGTTAAAAAAGATTTTCAAATAGTATTTTTTAATAATTTATATGTCATTCAGTGTCAAACTTCATTAGAATAGCAGTTTTTAAGATTTAGCACTAATATATAAAAAAATGTATTAAAATAAATAATTTCTTTTTCTTTTTTTTACTGCCCTGATTTGAACATGTGCCCCCTTTATAAGCAGAAATAGACACAACGCCTGCACAAACATTCACGCTCACAAATGACTTTTTGACAGTTGTGTGTCCTCTGCTCCCTCCACTTACATC